GTGTAAATGTTCTTATTTCATCACCGGGATGATATCTGAATAGAATTTTTTGTAATGATCGTTGAGAGGGATTAATTAGAATGGCTCTGTACATTTTTTCAATATCCGCTGACACTACATATTTATATTGTCGAAAACGCAATAAAATGGAAAGTAAATCATCTTGGACGACAGGGCCAACCATTTGTATGCTATTAAAGGTTTTGCCGCCTTTAGAAGTGGGGTTAGACGCGTTAAATACGACACGTAACTTAGTAGTGCTACTAGATTCGCGAGTTACACCATGATGAACTAAATAATTGGAATGACTTTGAGATTCGATTTGTTTTGGCAGCGTTGAAATATCGCTCATATGTCCTAATCGTTCATATTCAATCATAAAGTCTAAATACCTATTTTTTAATACAGAATCACGAAGAAATCTCCGTTCTAATGATAGTAATCGCCCTTTTGCTATTTGGTAAGAATCGCCTAGAACTTCGGGAGACTCCTTTAAAGGAATTGTAACTACAAAGCGGCCATCAACTTCGCGCCGCGTGTTTTCAACGAAGTGTTTTTCGCAAGCTTGCTCTTCTGGCGATAAACTATATTTTGAATTGATTGATTCCAATTCCCAAAATCGTGTTAGGGAGAGATCGTTAATTTGAGAAAAAAAACATGACGATTGATCTAAATTTTTGGGGTCGATTATTTTATGTTTCGTAACGGTGCCTGAAACTAGCCAGCCGAATTGGGTTTCTTGTAACTTAGGACGTTGCTCACCTAAATTTATGAAATTGCATCCTATTACGTCCCAAAATACGTCTGCACCGACTAAAATATCTATAGGCGACGACATGTGAAAGGACGGATCTGCTAGCTGAATGTTAGGTGGCAGTTGAATAGAATTTATATCTACATTACTAGGTGGTAACGAATTCGTGATGTGGGGCAAAACGTAGCAATTTAAATTAATTCTATAGTCCGCTGTGCGTGACTCGATAGATAGATTACAAGACTCTGCACTGAAGGATATTTGATTATTTATACCTGTCACAGATGAGTTTACGTGACGGCGCGTTAGGCCGAGTCTATCGCACAGGTGACTTGTGACGAAGTGCGCAGTGGACGCGTTGTCAAGCAAGAGACGTGCGGGATGTAAGCTCCCGTCACTCGCAACAACGTTCACCAAGGCTGTGGAAAGCAGTACATAGGGCTTGTTATTATCGGTTTTTATGTTGGACGATAAGGCTACTGTTTTAAGGGATTCAATATCTTTATGCAAGAGAGTGTTATGCATTTTAGAACAGTATTTACAATGACTTAAATTACAATAGTATTCACGATGTCCTGGTCTTAAGCAATTTTTGCAGATGTTAAAGTTTTCTACCTTTTCAATTCGTGAGTCTACGTCTAGCTTTTTAAAATCTTCACAAAGGTATAAGAAATGTTTTTGTTTGCATAATGGACAAAGTATTCTTCTGTTTTCAGTGTAATTTGCTTTGACTATATTTGAATTTTTTAAAATGTCCGAATGTTGTGTGTGTTGATTCTGTTGAAAATGTTTTGTTGTAAATTGTTGTTGATTTTGTTGTAAATTTTGTGTTGTTAAATGTCTTTGATATTCTTGTTGTTGTATAGTTTCTAGTAAATCGGCTCGATTAGTTAGGAAATCCAAAAATTGTTTTAATGTAGGTGAAGTTGTAATTGCATTTCGCTGTTGTTCCCATTCGCGAAAAGTAGTATTGTCTAATTTACGAATCATTAAATGAATCACAATAGTATCCCAATGATCGGTGGGTTGTCCGAGAGAATTTAGAGCGCATAAACTTGTGTTAATGTTGTCTACTAAAGATCTTAGTGCGTGACAAGATTCCCTTTGAATGATCTCGGTATTAAGTAAGTCATTCATGTGTTGATTCACTAAGAGACGTTCATTATCATATCTGTTTGATAATAATTGCCACGCAATAGCGTAATTTTTGGCCGTAAATTCTAAGTTTTGAATAATAAGCAAAGCACTGCCTTTAAGGGCAGATTTTAAATAGTGGAATTTATTAATGTCACCTAATTGATTCGAAGAATGTATGATTGAAATGTATGTGTCTCTAAAATTAAGCCATTCCCGAAACTTCCCTGAAAATTCCGGGATTGCAATTTTGGGCAGCCGAACGAAGTCGCGACACATCACTTCTCTGTCTATGCCCCCATCGCTCGACTCAGACATGGACATAGTGCGCTGCCGGTCGCGCTGATACTTGTTCATCATAGTGCGCGCCGCCGATACTAATGCAAAATATTTGTTTTCAAATTCCTCCCGTTCCGATATTAATTGCTCTGGATCGTCAGACAACATTTCCAACTCCGTCTGAAATTTGTCAAAATCATTATGCAGACAATCAATTTTATTTAATCGGGATTCGAGTTCGTTAAATTGGGTTTCGTTTATATTTATTATGCTTTCTAAAGAATTTAAGAAATTTTGAAATATCGTTAATTTGCCTTTAATTGATCCCCTAAGTTTAATTAAATCTTTGCTTCGGGGATCAGTCATTTTTATAAGGGGAAAGGAATACTTTGCGAAGAAAATAAATGTTTACGCTCGGTATTTTGAAATAGTTGATAGGGTACAAAGGTCACGGCATAAACATTGAATGCACGCCGACTATGCGACAGGTATGTTTGAGAAAAAAA